GAAAAGTTACTTGTCTCTTATTGGAAGAAGCTGAATGAGCAGAAGAAATAAAAAAGAGAGCAGAGTTCTAAAGTGAATATAGATAAAACTTTAGATGTAGAAAGTGCAGAGTATTAATTTACAGCATCTTAATCTCATCTATTGGGTATCTCAATATTGATATAGAACATATTTGAGATGTTGTCTATAGAATCTATACACAGATTTCATAGTATTATACAATATATCTAAATTTGTCAAGTAATTAAAGTAATATCAGAAAGTACTGATAATAAATGAAGATCAAGAATAAAACAGCATGTAGTCTAAATAGATGCTGAAGAAAGTACAATACAACATATCAGTAAAGAAGTTCTTTAAAGTAGCAATAATATGGAATGACAGGCAGATTGATAAAATCAGACAGAGAGAGTCAGCTTTGTATAAGCTTTGCAGTGCTTCTTGTCAATTCTTTACATGTCTAGTGAGGTATCTATACATCACATATCACAATATGGCTTCAACTAGACAGCAAAAAGTGAAAACGAAGGGAAACAATCAAGAGCAACAGTGACAGAGCGGCAACTAAAAGAACGGGAGATGAAAATGACCGGAGAAATTTATGTAAGGCAGAAGCCGGAAGTAGCATGACAATGGTCACTCGAACACTACTCTGCCCACCTGCCAACAATCATTTAGCACTTCGGAGACTCGAAACCAGCCCATTACTTACCACAGCCTCGAACATACTGATTATGGTGAGGACCTCACCTCGCCATATTTTCACGGACCCATTGGCATCTCGTTCTTGCTGGTCGGGGGGTAAGCACAAGTTCCGATATGGTTCGATCATTTTCCGCCAGTCATCGGAAGACTGAGAAAGAAATTGCAAAATCTGAATGATTTGCCACACAGCAACCTGCTGTGCTTCCGATGCCTCTGTGCGTTCACATTTACGGCAAGGACAGTAGGTGACCTTGGCTGCAATAGATAACTCAATGTCGAGTCGGCAGGTCTCCAACCGCAGCAGACCTTGTGAGTTTTGAGACACGTCAGAAACAAACCAGACCAACACTAAGTGCTACGCACCTATCGAGACGGTCTCAGTTGCGCCGCAAATTGTGCGACATCGACAAACCAGATTTCACGAGAGGAGCAATGTAAGCAGTGGGATTATGGGACGAGGAGAAAAGTACAAGGTGAAGGAACAGCGGGGTCGGTGCTTTTATGACCGTAACATGGTCACGACCCAATAAGGCTAGCTGGGATTCGCATCAGCAACACATCAGAAGAGTGTATAAATCGTACCGTCGGGTGAAGCCAGAACTGGATAAGTTCCAACACAATGAGAAATCCACGCTGGTCCAGACTTACGCCCAGCTCAAATTCCAATCAGTGGAAGTCCTTTCTGCATTGGTAAGGAAAAATCAGATGCATCTTTGCAAAGTTTGCAAGCTGGTGACGATCCTTCGCGTATATATGAAGCAGGCATCGGCTGGAGTCGAACAAACTTGAGATTCTGGTTGTCATCATCGATCCTGGGACTGTCGCCCGTTATTTTGCTTACGAATGAACGTTGCCCGTACTTTGTGTTATTGCGATCCACCCTTGGATCGAGTATCAGACTAGGACGGAAAAAACGGCGCGTGACCTAAGACACATAGCTTGTATATGTTTGGCCCTGGTTGCCCATGTATGTGGCTTTCATTTGTCTTTCTCTCCATCTTCACCATTTCATCGTTGGCATCTTGCGCTACATACCGTATTCTGTCTTCCATCTTGAATAGTGTTGCATTATGTTATTCCGCATCTCTTCCGCACTGTTGTTTATCGCGTCCACTGTTTTTCATCCCTTCCGACCAGCAATATGCTTCATTCGTGCGTTCTTCCCTCAGCGTTAATCTCTTCATGCTGTTTACCCCTTTCTTGCTTCTTAGTGTATGTTGACCTAAAAATAAGCATTAGCATCATTCTACGCAAGATTGCTTCGGGATAAAGGAAGGGAGGGTAGAGGAAAAGCTATAAAAAAATGAAGCAACATACCAATCGTCTAGAAATGCCACCACCTACACCAACTAACTTCGATACCCCAAGCGACACCCACCAAAGAAATGCATATGAACAAAGTTCAATAGCAGTCCGATCATTCTCACGTTTCATTGGTGTGGTTGTCGTACTAATACGTCTCCCTTGTTGCAGTAGACTAGGTGATCCGCCTTCATTACTGAAATTAGGACTTGTCGGTGAATATGGGCTAAGATGGGTGTCAAATGAGGGGCGTGAAGGGATACTTGGCGAATTAACATTGAGTGAGTTAAGCGAATTAAATGAGGTGAGAGTCGGTAAAACAAGCGAGCCCGTGGCGGACATGTCGAATGAGGTCCGATGACTCTTCGTAGGCGATCTCGGAGGGAACTGGAAGTCTCTCTCCAGTTCACTTTGAGGTCGTTCTCATTTGGGCGAGACACCAGACGCAGTGCTTGATGAGGGGTTCAGTGACGACATGTCATATACAGAAGGAAAGGTCGAGGACGGAGTGGGGGAAGAGGGAGAGAGGCATTGGAGTTGACGCTGACAGAGTAGATCCCGTTGGCGATGGAAGTACGAAGGTGAAGGCGGGAGGACCAGCGTTCCTGTTGAGAGTTCCAGGAGATGAATAGCCAAGTAACCTGTAGGCCATTACCACTAGGTTAGGCTCTTGTGAATGTAGAAAAGAGGGAAACGCGGACGGACCTGTCAGGGAGACCAGCCCTTCCTTGTTCGCGCTGATGAGGCTTTCACGAGGTTCATTGAGGATGTAAGATGTCAGAACCCCAGAGGAAAGAGCGAGTTGGTGTGCTATAAATGCCTAGGTCCATCTATGCGGGGACAACATATAAGTTATATTCATAAGACCGAGAAATTACTCAGTTAGTGAACATGAAAGACGTACCAATGAAACCCCAAACGTCTCGCACTTTGCCAAATCCCTCGGAAACACTTGAAAATCCACGGCCAATGTGCAAATCACCGTGAGTAGAAGCATATGAGCCCTATACGTCGTCAGTGCGGACAAGAGAGGTATATGCGTTATACCCAACGCAACACCGTCTCATCCCATGCCCCGCATGTCTTCCCCCTCCTCCTCATCAGCACCTCCCGTACTGTCAACATCCCTTGCTCTTCCGCTATCTTGACCTTCTCTACTTGGAGACGAAGTCTGACTTACGCCTAACGGCAAAACGTTCCCGCTCTCCCTCCTAGGAAACATCAGGAGCACTCCAAGCGTCGCCACAAGCAACCAGATTCAACAGTCCCGGTACATTCGCCGCTATTGTCACTGATAAAAGCAAGGGTACGGCTAGTACGAGAAACTCAGCTGGGAAGGAGAGTGGTTTTGAAGGTGGAAGACGAGTACGAAGAGAAGAATGTAGTGCTATGCTGGACTAGACTGGCTGTCAGTGAGCTTGGATAAAGACGTGCAATGTAGAGAAGTGTATGAAGAAGACGTACGAGGGCGACGAGAGAGATCATATTGACGTGTCCGATGGTTGAGCCGGACATGCCTGAGACGAACGCCTCATTCGAAGTCTTGTAGTCTGACGTCGTGCTCGTATTAGCTGTTAGAGAGAGAAAGCAGGTTCGGTTATGTATGTATCGGCTTTTAAGCTGTCTGGAGAAAGACGGCAATCTTGTACCGTTCGTGGTTAAGTGAATATCACCAATACAGCGGCGGAATCTGCCCATCGTTGGAGGAATGAACTTGTGAGTCTGAAGATAACGATCGTGTTTGTTGCGTTGCAGGTAAGATCTACTTATTCAGAATGAACGAATATTAGACATAAAGGCGGTCGGACAAGACGAGCTGGTGAGAACGATCGAAGTCACGGTCTATCGCCGACCTGAGAGCTTTAGCGCTGTTGACTTGCTTTCGACCAAGACGTCAACTTGTTTCGCCAAACTTACAAGACCGTGCACTAAGGCGTATAGTACTTAGGTCTCGCTGCAATAAATTGTCAGAGCAAACCGCGCCGCTCCTCTAGCGTCGATCCAACCAAATAACGACCTATCTTTCATACTTCAAAATCCTACCGAAAGTCTGTCAGTGTTGACTAACCTCTAGATCTCAAGGCCGTACATTAGTAGGTCAGGGCAAGTCCGCCATTCAATTCGACAGTAGTGTTCACATTCAAGCCTCGCACAAGACGGATATGTTTTCTGTATGTCACCTATCTGATCGTGAAACAAACCGGGACCCGTTCACAGCACCCCACGCAGTGCAACTTCTCGAAGCCCATCTCGATGCGAAGAAGAGCATCGAATCTTTTCACATGTTCACATCCCTCATGCTGAATCGCATTTCAATGCTCCTTTTTAGTCTGCTCCTCTCTCGTATTCGCTTTTCCTGCTATCCGTTCTTTGTATCTCAAGGAGCCTGCAGGAATATCGATATTAATGGCCTTCCCCCACGCGTTACGCGCCGGATTGAAAACTGATGACACGTTCTTCCATTCTCTAGGGTCTGTTTGCGCCGGAACGTTGAAGCTTCGCACTGATGATGCAGACGAGTATAAGCAGTCGTCGTCTCGTCCGAGCATGCGTCAGCCGCCTCAGGTCCCACCCTCAGTTCTGTCACCTTAAGAGTGCCTCGCACTTCAAAGGTCAACTATGTTCAGCTGGGTCGTGAAGTTAATAGCTTTCTGTTCTTTCGTCTCTTTTGCTTTCTCCTCTCCCATTGACTCGTTTATTCTCCATGTGTTTGTTTCGGCTTTTTTATGTACTGTGTGCTCCTTATGCATAGGAACATGCCAGATAGACACCACAACATGCCTGTACTTGCAATTTTTCTTGGAAATTCCCTCGCACGCCGAGAACCAGTAGTCAACTCTGAATGTGGAAACAAGGTCCATACATCAACGAACATAAGGACTTGAACAACGAAGACATGCCTGAAGTAGAATAAGGGTAGCGTACAAGAAAGCGTGAAGCACGACAGGACAAAAAGATATCAACAAAAAGCAAGATTCGTTGTGATGGGCTACTTAGTTAGCATGAGTTTATGGCTCATCATTGTCCTCTCGCCATCGGAGGTTAGTCTCATAGAATTCCAATAGCTGTTCCCGAAATTAGTTTCTCTGTCATACGAGAACACCCAAACACTCACCTTCGTGGGCATTTTCTGTTTGCAAATCTCGGACTTCTCACGGCAATGCCTGAATCCAGATGCCTTCACACTTGTGTTGTTCCTGGCAGTTTTAATGAGTAACTGCATGCAAACAAATCAAAGAAATTTGTACAAAGTGAAATACACATAGAGCTCATTGTCCTTGGCGCGCTCTATGGTGTCGATAGTGTCCACAAGGTGCTCCCAGCTCGCAGCATCCAACCATTTCTTCATATTGTCCAACTCTTCATCCAAATTGTTCTCCTCCTCTCTAGCCATTGGCTGGGACTTACGGCCCTTCACAGCATCAGTGCTCTGTCTAGGGGCAGCCTTACGTTTCTTGGCCTTTGGTCGTTCCTCTTCTGCCTCCTCTTCAGAAGGAGTCTCTGGCGTTTTTGCCTTGGGCGGCCGGCCCCGTTTCTTTCGGGGTGGTTGGCGATTCTGGGCTTTCTCGGTGGACCTAGGACCCTTCTTCTTTTGCTGCCAGTATGCATCGATAAGGTCCTTAGCACCTCTGTGACGTGATATAAGAATCATGTGTCATTCAACGACTTGAAGATACTTACCTGGCATCATCTTCGTCCACGTAGCTGTTCTCGCTATCAGGATAACCCTTCCATTTCACCAAGTAGCCTATCCGGCCCTGTGACATGTCAGAGTCAGCTCAGCTATGCATTTACGCCATACAAAGTAGAAAGAGCCGTTACCATAAATTCAGCCATGTTATACTTGTGACTGAGAATGACTTCAATCTCGTACTCATCTGCTGGTTCTCCTTCCTCATCTTCACCTTCACTGCCATTCTCCACATCGTTATCATCAACAGCAAGCGCCTTTGCCATATTGAAGATGTTTGGAAAGGATAATGATAAGAATGTGTCCCGCTGTGCACAAAGGCAGGCGAAGTGAGCAAAGAAGCACGTTCGAGCAGCCACCCTAAAATGAGGTATGACCTTTATCACTGCCTTCACCACGAGGAGGGACAGACGTAAGGATGTGTGTATGTGACATGGTCATGCGCGAATATGCGAACACGTTGTTTTGTTGGATTTCCACGTACCACCACAGGCAAGTCGAGCGCCTTTATCCAGAGTGTGCGAAGTCTGATCAAGCGTCAGAAGAGAAGCAGGAAGAGCATGATGTTGAGCGAAGAAGGAGAAGTTCTCTCCATTCCATGTGTCACCATGGAGGTCCGAGTTGGAGGGGTTGTGGTTCCATAGCCTGCAGACACAAAACGACTTATGCTGTTTGCTCCCATACAGACGGAACAGAACATATGTGAATCCAATAAAGGAGCACTCCAGCGCCGTGATCATGGCATCCATCATCCTGTTCTGCCAGGTCCAATCTTCACTTTCAAACGCTTCAACCTAACTGCAAAAGCCAAGACATCTCAGTTCCGAGTGACGACCACAATTGCTTACGGACAGGTACCCACTTCATATCCATTCAACACTGGTTTCTCGCCCAGTGAACGATACGTGGCTTCCGCAAGGTTCTTGATCTGAAGTGAGAAATTATTGCGAGCACCAATGTGGCCCCAGTAAAAAGCCTTCAACAGGAACATGCCCTATACAATGTGGGAAGTAAAGCAGGTAATGCGAGTGGCTGGAAAAGCAAGACTTATCTGCGAGAGGCCCTGAACATTTCAATAGGTTCGAATACAAGTGAATTCGCTGTACCAATATGGTGCATAGACTAAGTTACCTGGTTGGTGGTCAGGCGTCCATGAGCCTGGACAGAACTGTCGAGACTGTCTTCAGTGATATGCCACAGGCTAAGATGAAGGCAATTTTCACCTCATTCGGTATAGCCTCTACGAATACCATTTTGTCATTATCAATGACAGCTCACATGCGATCGGCCCATCGACTGAGGAATGGGAAGTAAAAGTCATTGTACCAATCAATCTAACCCCCCTCATCAGCCAACTTTACAAGATGTATGAGAAGAAAAATTGATCGCTTACCGGCTTCCCAGTCAAAGGATGTTTCTTGAAATAATTTTCCCTGAGTACAACTCCTTCCTTCTTCTGCTCGTCCCATCCCCAGATGCCATGCATTTCCCATATGCACTTCCCTTCCGTAACACCATCCTCTCGCCATACAGACCAGTGGTATTGAGCGTAACGGAGGACGTGTGTCGAGTAGGCATGGGGAATGAACGTGTGTAATGAGGAACGGTCGTTGGATACCCCGCTCCGAGAGTGAAGGAGTGGAGAGGCGAGGCTGATGGGTGCGGGACACGGCTTGTTAATGATGAGATAATTGAGTAATACAAAAGGGAACGTACGGATAGCGCCAAGGTGAAGATCGGTATTGTAGTCCCACCCGTACATAGACTGAAGCTCAACGTATCCATGATGAGGTTCGTTCATGATCTAGATACCAAGAATCATAAGTACAAATGAGATTTTATTGACTTGAAATCTTCTTACCTCGAAGCCCAGCACCCCGGAAAGGTGACCAACAGCATCAGCAAGTACTTCCCACATGTTAAGAAAGTCGTCCTGCAGGAACTGTTGTATTGACACGTCCTCCTCGTTTCCAGTTTTCGTCCTGCGTTTGACCTTGACCTTAGGCGCAAATGTATCTCCTGCCCAGAAACAGGTCCTGTGTGCCAGAAATTACATCAGCTCTCGAGAAAAAGGTTGAAACCCGAATGAGGCTCACGTTAATGTAGCAGCAGCCAACTTCTGATACCCAGTGGGCCATAGGCCCCTCTCTTCCGGCTTCACCATTCCTCGATCTTCCTCATCATATTTGCCTTCTGCAGTTTTCACTCGCAGACCATTCAACCAAGCACTTCCAGATTCTTCTAGTGCATCTAAGTCAAAGCCTGCAGACTCTATTGTCCACGTCGGTGCTCCACTGCCACCAGAGTACCATGACCAGACATCTTGATAAAGCGCAACGAAGCAAGAGAGGCCATATTGAGGAAGGAGGGCTAGGACCTGCTTGAGATAATTGAGGTAGTCATAGTCATATTCTCCACTGTGGCATACGCTTATTAGAGAACAAGTATAAGGGTATAAATAAAGAACATACGGTCCGGCATGTTCCACCGCTTCCCATGTGACAAGGAAGCGAACTGAACAGTCATCAGTATGATCTGACTGAGAAAAGGTGTATGTGATACGAGAACCGTAGCGAAGGTTAGTCCCCAACGACGAAGTCGAGCAAAATGCTTTGGTGCATCTTCTATTGGGAAAGGTCTATTCACAAACGTAACCGCAGCGGGATTGTCAGGGAATGTATCATGGATTGGCCTGAATATTGCGCATCAAAAAATCAGTACCTTGTGCAGTAATGATAATTATATGTACTCATTCACAGAGAACATACGCACGTCTTACAGTTTCCTGAGAGGTTGACACCGCGCAAGTGACAGACTCTCCCGTGAGCATCAATGAAGTGACGACCATGCTGAGACAGTTTTCCTCCAGTCCCACTAGGGGACCAATCATGAGCGTACGATGGTGTTGCAGGACTAAGCAATGTTGACTTTAAATGCGTAAATTGCACCGCACCAGGCATTCGAGTCCCTGTTGAAGCTGACGACGACGGAACGTAGTCATCATTAACCAATATGAAAGATGCATCTAAGTCTGAAGGCACACTTGAAGCCATAATGAGCGAGCTAGAGTGACCTCGAGTTGGGGAATTCCACTAGTGATTCGGTCGTGACATCGCCTTGTGGCTTCAGTACCTCCCGGAAACTACGGATATCATTCTAAATGGCCCTCTGAGCTAGGTATCCTGTATGCGCAAATGAAAGTTAGTCTGTCACTGCGTGGGCAAGTGTCAGGTTAGAAAATGGCCTTATTGTTTGTGTCGTGAAGAATAACCAGGACAGCGAATGCAAGGCTGTGACAGTCAAAGCTGTTGCACATGATGTCACGCAATAGTGTCACCGTGCTCTTTTGAAGTGCGTCTTGTTCTTCAATTCTAATGTTCTCAGTCTTGTAAATTCAATGTGCTCAAAAGAATCTTGAGCTGGCTGCCACCTTCTTGGTTTTCACATTCGCGTAACATGTACCCTTGAGCGACTCAAACTGCAGCTCCTGACCCAGAGTCAAATCGCCTGCTCGGGTTCTGCACCTACGGTCAGTCAGGCCCTATGACAGAGAATTCTACTAGGACGCTTTGATTATATGTGAAGTTGTACTCTCCTGAGTGCAATACTTGACTGGTGGCTGAAGGATGCCGAATAAAATTGGTGTCAGTGACCTCTACAGTACTCAATTTTTCTGTGAAGAAGGCAGCAAGCGTGGTCCACAATCAATCAAGGTGAGCTTTATTCTATCGATTTGATTCGCTCTATTCTTCATGGCCCTGCTGATCTATTCAACCCGGAAGTGAACGTTTCCCACCGGTATGATCATTTTCTGATTCTCCAGGATGTTCTTCAGTATTTCTGAATTTAGCCGAGCCAACACAACGTTTCTCTGTTGACGCAGTTTTCTGAGTTGCCGCAAACATTATCATGACAAGAGAATAATGTTTTACGAGTTGCACTTGGGTCTTAGCAGGCATTTTATATTTGGTTCAACTGATAGCACGGTATGTGACAGACGTCCTCCTACTTTGGTTGCTAACTTCCCGCTCCAAACAGTCTCAGATGATGTGCTCTTAATGTGCTACCTCTCACCGTCCTTCCTTCATGCAATTCATACAAGTGCCAACAGGCTGCTCCAACTCGAGCATCAAATGCGCCGGTCCAATTTTGATGATTTTCGCTGTTCTGGCGAGTATACGTGCGGTTTCGCTCAGAAGTACTGGTGAGGTCCTAGCCGCTTGTGATTGGTTCTGATGTTGTACCATGATTCAATTGGCCCGCTTTTCATTCCAACATGAAACACCTGTGCTGAGGTGTATCTCGGCTAAGTACATTACGTCTTCCCCCATACGGTATGTGATCGTGCGGGTGTTTCCCCGGAGAAGACGCACGGTGAGCATGACTATGGAGTGGTTGCGTTGACTCTCAAGCTGACAAAGCTCTTAAGTCCTTTCTGATGGTGTTCCTGCTTTTTATGGGACCTCAATGCAGAAGGAATACAATACCATCCAGGAAGATGAACTCCTGTTCCATGTCGACACGTTAAGTCTGGTGTTTGATTATAATCCTCTAAAGTTGAGTAATACCCTGACCTGCCGGTACTTACTTAACCTCCAGTCGTTGGGGCTCAGCGATGTTCTCCGGTGATCGGTAAGCAGCATTCAAAAATTGTTCACCATCGCATCAGATCTCCTATCAGGATCTCTATCCCTAATTAGGCGGTCAAATTCACACATTTTTAGGACCAATATTTGTCGGTATGTTGACGACTACCTCACTTTTGTTCATTGCAGTCTTTGAAGCCCACATTGGGATCCGTAGAAATCCGTGCAAGAGGCTTGCGACGCAGCTGTTATCTTTATACACTCGTTACCGCCGAATGTATCGACGCTTGCACAGCTCTCCGATTCTGCGTGCTTCAACTCATGGTTCCCCTCCTCGTGATGTTCGGCTTCACGTACATGGGAAGATTTCTTTTAGCCGTCCTCAGAACGTATTCTTAAAGCATGCTCGGAGCAGTCGTCCCATGTCTCCGTCCCGCGCAAGACTGCGCCCATGTCGTCTTACGCTGCGCTGGTGACCAGCTCCCCTCAACTTTCCCCAGCGGAGCAACTTCAATTCATACAGGACTATCGTTTTTGTCGTTCATTCGTTCGTCAGTAAAATGATGCAATTATTCGTTGTTGCTCTGCTAACAATTTATTTTGATACAGTTCTGGCTCTGGTGCTGGTTTTATATGACTATGGTACGTTGTATACTGGACGTTGTCTGTAGCTTTCACCAATCAAGCTGGCATTTTTTTCAGCTTTGACGCTTGCTTCGGAGGTCAGCCCCTTCGTGTATCCATGAACTTGGGGAATCAGTAAATCATTTATTTTCTGATGTAGATTGCGTGTATGCTGAAGGGGAAGTTTCTTTGGGCGAGAATTATGTACCTGGCGGTAGGTTGTCATCCGTGTGTTCTGCTCGTTCTTTGAATTCCCGTGTTGTTCAGTGTCGGTACTGCAGGTAAATCTTCCTACGTCGTGAATGCGTCTCCGAGACACTGACATCCACTTCGAGAAGCATACTACTCGTAATGTGCGTCCGTTTTGCTCTGTGTCTGGCCTAATTGGCACGCTAACTCTCTTTGACAGCCTTGCCAACATCCGTACATGTGACTTGCAGATTTCAGTAGTTCTCATATGTAAGCTGACGATGTAGTGATGTTTTGGGTGGATTTGCCCTCTCATGTACGTTTTAACCTCCTCATCAGGAGTCTCACTCAATGCTAATCCGTCTGATTATTCTACCTGTTCCAGGAGTGAGTTCTACAGGTGGCATCCTAATAGGGTTTTGATCGACTTGCCCAGGCACGCTTGTTCGATATGGTATTACATGTTCGTGATTGGAGCTATGCCTGGACAAATATCGATTACTAGTATGTGATCTTCTGTGGACTAATGCAATGACTGACTAGATCTTCGGACAGTCATCATGATCCTCAGGGTCTATGCAATGTACAACTGTAATCGACGAGTTCTCATAGCTTTATTCTCGGCCTTTGCACTCGAGGTTGGAGCACTATTCACGCTTATCATCATCGTGGCCTCAAGGCTAGAGAGTGAGTTTTGACTGCCGAATGCTCCACCTCTTAGATCTCTCAGACTGAAGTCATATTCTTGTAGCCATTGAAGTTCCATATGCGTCTGGCTGTTTCCCGGTTAACACCCGGCAATTCGCCTACGCGTTCTGGATACCCAAGATCATATTTGAACTCATCTTATTTGTCCTCGCAGGCCGGTGCTGCCTTCAAGAATATTACAAATGGCACCCAACCCCGCAACTCCTCAATGTTCTTCTACGAGATTCCGTGGCTTTCTTTGGCGGGATCTTTGTTTTCAACCTGTCCAACTGTCTCATCTGGGCGATCAGCAGGGTGATATGATTTTTACCATGTACTTTGTGTCCGTTTACTGATATTCTGTCACAGCCGACGCTTTTCGTTGCCCTCCCAGTGTTTGTTCTTCTACTCTCCTATTATGGCAACTACTAAACATGTTCTTGCAGCCTTCAAATCGCATTTGAGTCCATCCTAGGATGTCGATTACTGGTGATCGTATTATCGTCTACTTGTCATGATTCATGAACTGAACTGTGTATAGCTCAATCTCAAGGAAACGGCAAATCCTTGGCTCCGATACGATTCTGTGATTTATGGCATGCATTCTTCAATTAGCTCGAGTGCTGTTTTCGCAGAGTACGGAAGTGATGAGGTACGTCGCGATATATTCAGACAAGCAAGACCTCACACACGTCGTATAGGCCCCAGCCATGTTCAGGATGATGCGGATACCTGCAAACTAATAAAGCATTGATGTCTGGTTGTATTGATACAGGCAGTATTTCGCCAGCATGGCCTAAACATTCATTTGAAGTTTATTCGCTCCTTTTCATACATCCGGCCTGCACTCAAGTGAAGACCACTCAATTCAGCGTAAGTGACATGAATACATAAAACAAATAACAATAACAGATCAAGGTCGAGGGTGTCGAGTTCAACCTCTAGAAACAGCATGAAAGTTGCACTCTATTGACGTGCACTCCAGATGGGTGTCTGAAAGTCATACATGGTCAACTTTCCTGGGTATGTTAGGTATGGTTTCATGGCGCCTCCCAGTCCGTCGATTTCTGATTTGCATTTCTCTGCTAGAGAAGTAACCCGTTCTTCCAATTCCTGAAGCTTCGGAATTCTGAATCAACATGGTGGGTCTAGGTCAGTGTAGATCCGTAAGTTGTGCATAAGGACATTTATACTTGGATTCAACTAGCGGGTTGGTGGTATGGGCAGCCTGAATGTCTTCACGCAAATGAAAACTGCTGGCTGAAATCGCTTTCTCCCGACCAAGGACCCATCCATATTCCCTGACCCAACGGAGCTTCCAATTAGTAGTGAGGGATAGTTGGCCCCTGTCAAGCCAGGTCTTCTCGCATTTGACTAATTCGTCGCATTCACCGAACTCGGCCGCAAACCGATTGACTGCTTTCTCCATGTGAACCATAGCTTCGTCGATAGACTCGGTCAGAGCGATGGCCTTTGAACCTAAAGACATCGTAAGGAGGGAGGGGGTCACGAATGTAGGTGGGGGATAGATGTGCACTGCAGAAGAACGTTGACTGGTTTTATACCTAGCGTACATGGACAAATGTGGGTCTAGTGGCGCAGGACAAAGCATCTCTCTCATCAAAGGTCAAAGGTCAAAGCTGTTATCAACGGCCGCACCAAAGCTTTTTTCCTCAGTGGCACACTACACAAGCGAAGCCCATTGTTCTGACGCTTGGCCTTAGGTGCAAACATCGACCGTCTGAGTCAATGGGGCCAAAGCTGGAATACTTGTCAAAGCAAGCCGTGCTCTTTCTCCTACCTACTGAACATTTTGTTCTGGCGATTCTCGAAAGTTCCCTTTTCAGATTTGTTCATACCCGGAGACTTTTGCGAAGCAGAACTACGATCACTATGGCGCAACAATCCCAGGTGTATTCACAATCACTAAAGCCCCAATGCATGCGTCTTATCACTCCCCTGATAGAGAGGTACACTGCTGAGATTTCGTACAGGCTCAGTTGTCTATGCACAAACAAATCGTTGTCTCAGTCAACAAATTGGAATAACATCACGGTCATGTTGAATAATTCCCTCAGATCTCGAGCACTTTACTCGTCCTTACATCTTCCGTAGACCGTTTGCATTACGTGGCACCACGGTTGCTCAATTGAGCTCAGCACTTCCTTCAACATTTTATCCATCACCACAACGGCAGGTCATTGCCTGCCAGGAAAGATATGCTTCCTATCTCACTTATCGTTTCGATCGAATCACTATTCTGTCGATGGGAAAATGCTCATCTTCACCGAGAATTCTTGTTCCCTTGTCATAGTGAGATGTCGTAGGCTCTTTTGCATTTACAGATCACTGCCAGTGACTGCTACAGCTTGTGCCAGGCAGGTGTGTGACGGTATTTATCAGACGATGTCCTTGCTAGCTTTCGGCGCTCCGCCGCCACGGTGTCCAACTTGATCCGAAATGTCCTCAAAAGACGGACAACAGCTTGAGCGTGATATATGACACTGGCATCCTATCTTCGATACAATATGGGGGTTCGGGATCATGATGCTTGAGAAGATGGCGCAAATGTCAAATATCGATACCGATGAGCATGCAGACTTCAGTCACGCAAACACGCCATCTGAATCAGCCAGGACAGTGTAGTTACGAGTGGCTACTACAGCTCTGAGACTAGCAGTTCCTGAAATCTTGCCCTGCATGATTCACAGTTGGCGTTATTCATGCAACAAGATAAGGCATTGTAAGCGATCATTTGAGACTTCTTCAAGCAACCATCATTCTGCAACTTTGTATGACGCTCTCAACATGAACCAGTCTTCAGCGATTCAGATTGAGCCTATGTATGTAAGATCCCACTTTTGAATGCCAGATATACCCAGAGTTCATGCTACATACACAGATTTGATTTCCAGCGATAACTACTTGTCATGATGCTGCCACTCCGTTTCATGGATCCTGTGATCTATTCGACTGAATTTCTTCAGGTGGATGGGATGCTGGAGCAGAGCTCAAAGTGAGATACCTTTCCCTTAAACTGGCATGTGGCTATTCGGTCTCAGTGATTTCTCCTAGGTCACAAGGAGTTATCCTGCCCATTGAACTCTATGAAAGGATTATCAACATTTGCACTCTCGCTCCATTGGCCTCTATAGGACAAGCATTCGAACAATTCAAATCTAGGGCTATAACTCCACAGCCCCCTTCAGTTCGCTTCGATGTCTCACGAGCATCGAGGAAAAGGAAGAAATGCGAGCGTACTTATTGATCAAGAGAGTGCTAATGACCACTTTCTCGCCTTTGAGCTCAGCATCGATAAGCATATTCTGTTGGTCAAAATAGGTGAGAATTTGGGACCATAGTGACCTCCATAACTCTCTGTAGTGAAAGGGAACCTGTACTATACTAGTCAGCAGGGCAGAATGACAAGGCAATAGGTACCTACTCTCTGCTTTCGAACTTGTGGAACTGCGGACTCTCAAGTAAGATCTGGAAAGCTTGCCAAATGGGAGGAGCTGCGGTGATGATGCTGTTCACAGTGATAGTGCCGAAAGAGAGACCAGTGCCGATGGGCTGGTGATATAGATCACTGATAAGATGAACATTAGCCTGAGCAGTTTGGCGGTCACGAACTCAGAGAAAGAAGAGAAATAGAACACACCATTGCTAATATTGTTCTAGCTACTTGAACGATATAGGTCAGATTTGAGCATACTAGATAATTAATGGACTGACCTGAAGGGATTGGCTAAGGTCGACACAGAGGGGATGACACTCTCAGTTACCATGAAACAACTGATGAAGTGCTGGATACAGCATCGTTGAGCTAAGAGGATACAGACGAGGCGGTGAGGAGGACACAACAGATGCAAGAGACAACAAAGTCCCACTGGCTGGAGCCACATTTGAGGATGGTGACTGTGAGATCATTTCATGTGAAATGGAGGCAGGCAATGATTGAGACTGTGCAGTCAGTTTCGACAGAACTGCAGATTCTATGACAGCCTCAGAGAGTTTATGAACCACCTAAGGCATGGGATGGTGGGGTCCTAGAGACCTATTCTATGATTGCAGGAATTAGGTCTCAGAGGTAGGCTCAGTTTCAGCCACTATAGAGGAAGACAATCATTCCAGAGGGTGGATCATCTGGACCACTCAACTGGGCTCGTGCCGATCATGCCGGCCTCGCCAATCAAACCACCTGCTGCCAACTCACAGGCATTGAGGCGTTCGCGCTGACCCTTAGTGAATAGCAAGATATACATTGAGCACCTCACCTCTCTGATGCCATGGTAAAATTTGTCCTGTACGCTACCATTTAAGACCTCCCTCTGTGTAGTTGTTACGATTATGATTGATTTCCCTCATCCGATTCTCTGTGTTGCTTCAGATGTGGTCAAAGAGCTTGAAGGTGGAGACACCGTGTTAGGGCTTTGGACCCGTACGTTCTTCAAGGGCAGATCTTTAATTGCCACTTATCTTTCATTTTTCTACAGTCTTCACAAAGTGTAAGGCATCACTGACTGATGGCCAACGTCTGGAGAATATCTCCTGGCGATTGTGGTATCGCGAGATGGCCTGTCACAGCACTTCTCCGCATTCATCAGGGTCAGTGTCTCCAGCAGACTCTGAATTTTGCAGCTCGTCGCCTATTACACCCGTGTCTGAGGACGGCCCCACGATGTCGTGTCAAGGTATGCTTCGATTCTGCCTCATCCCATGTTCTTCTCTTATTTCGTGTATATCACTAGGTGCTGCTTCAAGCGAGTTGTTACTAATGGTTGATGATATCTCAACTGCTCACTCATGGCATGGCAAAAATCTTTCGCCTTCAGCGATGAACGTTACCCGACGACTGAGCATGGTCAGTATGCCAGCTCATCCAAATACGAAGCCTGGCATGCCGCCCCATGCAGGGAAGTTGATTGTTGGCATACTTCTGGACAAGCTCATTATCCCTCATTGCATGCCTCCATCATCCCAGCCTAAGTCGGAATCAGGCACGAACATTCCTAATCCCACGGTCGTAAATATGCCTCAAGGTCCCATTGCTCAACCTCGACCTGTCTTACCAGCCGTGCAATTACTGGCTGCAACTCTGCCTTCAGCATCCGGAAGTGCTGGTCTATTTCCTTGCATTGTCATAGTACATCCCACACCCCATCCGACGCCACCGGCTACCCCACAGCCCACACAGTCCATCACGGCCATCCCCGCTGTTCATGCACCTACCCATCTTCTTCCTCAACATCCAGCATTCACTGCTAATCAGTCCTCGGAGCAATCATCTTCGATACCTCTGGAGCCTAAGTCAAATGCCGCTCCAACAACTTCTGACCGCCCAAAGCTGAAAGAAGATGTTTTTGCTACCATAAAGCCATCTGATCGACAGTTCTACCTCCAGCACTCTGAGTCGCCAGACAGACAATCCACGGGATCTCATATTCCCGAGGGCAATGATGGTCACAAAGATGCTGATGTAATGGAACCATCTCCCAGCAGTGAAACATCGAGCCACATCAAGTCTGATGGGGTCATGGCTGCCCGCATGAAACATGCTTTAGGAAAGGCACATGTGCATAGGAGCAAAGAGGTTGTTCGGCATATCCCTGCTCGACCCATCGCTTCACGACTCCAGGCACAGCGAGCTCAAGCTGCACAACGGCACACAAATGAAGTAAAATGAATGACCGCATTCAATATTAGTTCACCTTCTTCGAACGGGTCAAAGCATGTGAGTTCCCTTGGTGGAGGTCAGAAATCACATGCCGCACAGCCCGATCAAGATGTTCCTAGACCTCATCCACCAAGCCCACTCAAGAATGGCAACACACATATGGTTGGTCGTGCAGGTGGAAGCAATCCTATCGTTCCTCCAGCACCGGCTCTGACCGCGGCAAATCATCGGGGACTTGTCATGAACACATCGTCCGTGTACGAAACGACGACCGAGGATGAAGATGATTCAGAGTGGGCTTCAGATAATGATAGTCCGGATAAACAGGAAATAGTACAAAAGCGTGAGGAGAGCCAGTTGCGAGAAGCAGCCGAGGAGGCCCAACGACAATGCGACATGTTTGCCAAGGTCCCCAAATGGTCGTATTTCAACCTGAACAGGGCTCATTCCAGTCTTCTTTCTCAGCTCCTCAATCCCGATCCTAACCTTTTCCCACCCAATCATCCTTATCGCACCAGTTACTCATCGCAGGATGTAACCCAACTCGGAAAGTCGGGTCGACCTTTGGCACCCACTATCTTCACCAGCAAGAGCACCGCTGCAGTTCCTCTTGCCAACGTGGTCAATGCTCAAGCTCCACCTATGAGCAGCGGTGGTCCTCATGACACAAGAGGCTACAGGCCCAAGGGTTGTCCCGAAGAAGCGGAGTTAGAAGATGATAGTGATAGCGATGAAGAGAATCCGGAAAATGCTATACAGGTGTTGCGAAGTCTGGCGCAGCAGAAGTTAGCTGCATTGGCTGATCCTAATCGTCGACGAAATTCCAACCGTGGTCCCCCTCCTCCAGAGCCACCCGTCTGGCCAAACCTCACCACTGTACATACAGCGCCCATACCTCTAGGTCATCCTTACAACCTTTCTGCTCCTGCTCCTTCCATGACCCCCCAGACCACCCGACGACAAATGCTTTCGACTGAATTATCCGAGAGTTTGCGATGCAACTTACTCTGGGAGTGTCAGGTCAGCAAGATAAATATGACCGGTGGTGCTCGCAGAGTCGGATTGCTCGGCAGTGGGTTGCATCCACTTACTGCAGTCAATAATGCTCAGCCCACTGCGGGTGGGTCGGGAAATCCCAACAACAGGTCTTCGAGCAGAAACAAGGGAGGAGAACATAGGTGGGTGGCTGCCATAGCACGTAACCACAGTTGGGGCGACGACTACCACTATGCCGGGTGGTGATAATAGTGGTCTTCAAATGGTGCTGACGTCCATACTCTTACTCCAGTCCAACAAACAAATTATGTCGCTATCGATGCTTTCCATCATTCTCATTTTTTTTTTCCTTTTTGTTTTCATTATTTGCTGTATTATTTGGTATGTGTGCACTGTCATACAGGCTCCGGATTTCGGTCTCCCACTCCTTTTTGCTACAGGCCCTCTCACACTCATTCAAACTGCTGTCTCTTTCTCTATCCCAATCCACATGCATCATTGCTCTCATCTTACTCAACCGCCCTCATAGCCCTCATAGTCACAAATCACCTGCAAGGATTGTTCCCGCAGGTGTGATTGTTTTTCATATGCATTATATGTCATCTTCCGATCTCCAGTCTTGGAATGACATTCCCCGAGTACTTCATATCATCTATACAGCATCTCCATCAACAACCTTCATCCTTAGCTCTCACCCTCATTCTCTTCACTCCATTCATGTTGGCATCTTCATCTTTCCATACCAGTGAGTAGGGGTCAAAGAGATGAAGCACAACTAAGAAACATTGACACAGTTGAACAAGTGGAATGGTTCATCAAATGTGGACATGGGGTCATATCATAGATACAGCTGTGGCACGTGTGAGTTTGAAGAGTGTGTCGAGGATATTTGACTTGACTTTTGAATCTCGGGTTCCATGCAGTGTTGTTAGAACTCAAAACAGAAAAGGAGTGATTAGAGAGCCTTACCTGCTATGCTAGTCACAACATCCGCAATACATTTGACATGCACATCGGTACGCATTCTGTGACTCGTCAGACTCCAGTGATATGCATGCAAGATGAATGCATTCGAGAGCCCCCTAGACCATCTCTGCTCATTTCATGTTGATAGAGAGGGAAGGTCATGTCTATGTGATCACCTCACTGACTGATGTCTATACAAATCAAAATGAATGAAAGATAAAATTTAGATGTAAAGAACAACCAAGGTCAAGTGGAAGATCATGTTCCTCACTCCAGAATGAAACTTCCAATTGAATGAGGTGGGTGCATAACCTCACCTTTATTCATTGTTTGCATTGCTGCTACCCTGATTCTCTGCCATTGATGGTCTTGTGCTTCCTCTTCAGCATCAGTTCTGAGGCCAGGTTCCTTGCCAAGGTGTCAATGTCATTGTGATAGGTGGAGGGCTGAGACGGAGAGCTAGCGAGAGGTGGTTTCACATTTTGTAGACATGTTGGGGAGCAAAAACAAGGAAGGAAGAAGAAGCAGTTTGTTAATGCAAGTCGAGAGTGGAGATAAGAGCAGAGGTGACGTTAGATATCAGGAGGTCTAGGGGATGTTTAGGTGAAGTACAGCATTGGGTGCTTGTTCGATACAAGTGAGCGGTATAACAATGGGCACTTATAGTTCATATGAGAGTAGGTGTCTTGAACAGATATTCAATAATTTGAGCGAATGTGCTTGAGAGATCCTGAATTTTTTGATTTTGAGCATAAGGGCATGTACATGAAATGAATAGTGATGTTAATTTTTCTTAGGAAATAATGCCCCACTCTATACTGAGTGTAAGACAAAAATAACTTGCTGTCATTCTGGCCTTCTTTCTCTCAATCTGGCATGCATAACTTCAGTCTGTGTCTCTCCTATGATCCTAGCTTTGGCCTCAATGAGCCTTTCTCTTCTATTGTAAGGGATGTATCTGCTTTGCCTTTCAATTTCATTCTTTGAGGCTTTGGCATTAATATATTCATTAGTGGTGTTTAGTGGCTTTTACAGATATATATTGTGATTATTTCTTACAGGATCTCTCTATCTGAGCAACTCTTAGCAACCTGGAATATCTTATTATTTCAGAATGAGCTTTTCTGCTTACTAATGGGAACTATTCACAGTATGCTGTAGCTAGACTGGCTAGTCCTATGAGCATTCTGCATTATTTACATCGTGCCCAGTTATCTCTTATGGTCTCATTGCAATTTAGAGTTTCTACCCAGAACTACTATGTTCACCAGAGTACCTTCACATAATGTCAGCCTTACACTATTTACTATTTAGAAAAGACAAGAAGTGTCAGACTTCTCAATCAACAAATATCTCACAATAGTATTACATCTGCTAACTAACATCTCTAGATCTTCCTTGGAGTAAAGTAAAGAGAAGAAACTGATAAGATAGATATTTAAAGTTATAGAGGTAAAGTTCTTTACAATAACTTACTTTTTTTTATATCTTAAGTTGATTCAAAATATTCTCTAAAGTCTATTAAATATATCTCTGCTATATACACTACAGTAAAAACTCTATCTATTCAAATACAATCAAAAATGTTTACTTCTTTTGTTTTTTATATTATCCTCTAAATAGCACTCTTCAACTTCAGTATCTACATTATCTATTTCCAATCTAGGTCTCTTAACAGCAGCTGCAGTTGAGGTGATAGGTAATGCTGAAGCTGAAGATTTCTGAGAATCTTCAATACTCTGTAACACTTTTGCAAATTCTGCCAACATCTGATTTGTATGCTTCTCCAACTTTTGGTCAAACTTTTTCTCCATTATTGACACAAGCCTTTCCTCAGATTCCTTCATAACTGTTACAAGCCTTTCCTCAGTTTGCTTAATAGCTGAGGCAACCTTTTCTTGAGTTATTGCAGAAGTGGCATTTGTAGAACAGGAGTAGATTTCATCTACAGTGAACCTTTGCTGCTCAAGCAAATTATCAAACTCTGTATGTCTAACCTGTTGATAAGGCATTAAGAGACCTGCTAGAAAAAAAATAATCAGAATAAGTTTTATTAAAAAAAACTAGATAAAACATACCTGGAACAGTTCTACATACTTTCTGCCACTGTCCACTTGCTTTTGAAAAGAGTGGTATCAAGTCTTCACTAGGGCCAATCAACATTGCTGAAGTAATAGCATAGTGAGTATTCTCTATGGCCTTGCTATGTCCAGCCTGAAGAGCTTCAACAGTTTCTCCAGGATCCATAAGCTCTAGTAAATTTGCAGTAGAAGCACACAACTTCCTTCTAATCCCAATAGAAATATGTCTAAAGTCATTAATTTTGATAGGAAATCCAACATATTTTTGAGCATAAGTAGACATCAAGGAACTGATATCATCAGTGGTAAACTCTTTATCCATCTTTACAAAAAGTCTAGACTGGTAAAGAGAAGTGACTTCTGAAGAGTTAGGCCAAAGAATTTGAGCTGCAAGTTGGGCCATGGGTCTGGCAAGGCCAAGATTCTGAATCATCATACTGATAGTAAAGGCATCCAAGGCATGAGGAATAAGCTTGTCTGAACCAGTTAGAGCTCCAGATTTGTGATACTGTGTCAACAGCATAAGACAGTCATTCATAAATACTAGATTACAAAAAGGTCTGGTGGAAGTGTTACAGAAATTCATAGCTGTTATCTCACTTCCTCTACAAGGAGCACCTCCTAATATTACTGATCACAAAAGTAGAAGATGTTGAAATTCTGTGTACTTTTCTAGCCACTGTTTCAAAGTATGTGTATTTCAAGTAGAAGCTGAAGCTGAGGAAGAATCAACAATAAAGTGTTCTCTTGTTTTGGCATCACTTGTAAAAGTGTCTGCAAGCTTATCCACATTCTTCAGCATGATATTGTCTTGATGTGTTAAGAAAGAGTAATTAACAGTATGTTCAGAAAGATCATCTTTTATAGCATTGAGCTAGAATAAAAGAAGGCAAAATTAGAATATAAGATAACTTTATACTAGATGTAAACTTACATTTTCTACTTGTAGATCATGATTTATTAGAATGTCCCTCTCCCAGAGACTAACTATTTTATCCTCCAGCTGATGAAACATGACAATAAGTTTCTCTAGTTCTATAAGATCTTCCTGATATCTGAAGTTTCTAAAATCCTTATCATCTATCCAGGTTATCCTGACAGCTGGCATTGTATTTTTGGCTATAGTTGTGGCTATATGCTGTAAAGACCTCACTGAATTGAAAGGAGTATATTCTTGCTTCTCAGTAATCCACTTCTCTAGCTGTAGAAATGCCTCATGATCTGTCACTTGAGAGCTGTTAACTATCTGTTTTAACTCATATAGGAGAGTTAGGCGCATAAGATAAGTTACTGCAGCCAAATCATGAGTAATCTGAGCTGGCTCTCTAAATCCACTATCTTCCTTGATTGTGCTTAGCATAATAAAGGTAACTGTGGGACAGGGAGTTTTGTTATCAATAGAAGGATGCCAGGCATAGTGCCAAGTGTGTTTAAGTACTTCATGAAGAGAAGACAAAAGGTGTGGATTCTGAATGATAGTCTTATTCTTCAAAGCATCTTGAATATTTTTCATCTCCTGATGTAAGATAGTTTTGAACTGAGAGATAGCATGAGAGAGGGTAGAAGTGAGATTCAAAGGATATGTAGGATTAGGTCTCATAAGCATGGCAATAAGCTTAGTGACAATATTGCAGTAGTTGTCTAGACTTTTGGGATTCTGTAGCTCACGAAATGGAGTATTACTAATACTATAAAAGATAGACATAGTTAGCTTATAGAAAATAGTTACTAAAAGATATAGAACATACCCATCCTTCTCAGCATAAGAAGTGTTGAGCTTCTGTAGAGGCAGTTCTGCAGTCAATGAAATGAGACTAATACACTGTTTAACATATCCAAGTAGCACTTTCTTTAAACCAATAAACTCAGATTTCTTGGGATGCTGAACCATATTCATCATCTTTTTGGTATCATATCTAGCAGTGTATAGGTGGAATTTGGTATTGATCAACCAAGGACTGACTAGCCTAGAATCAGAAACCACAGAAGAAAGGGCATGCTGCTTTACTGTGACTTCCTCTCTAAGTCTTCCAATAAAGGTATCTTATATGGGAGGTGAACTGGGAAGAGATGAAATAGGTGGTGAAAGAACTCTAAAGTATTTCTTCTTATTTCCCCTATTCAGTTGTTGTAGATAGCATCTTGGCCAGTTGACTGGTGGCTTGATGTTACTATGATCTTTGACAAAATGTGCCTTGAGAGCTTTGAGATCACCCATAGCATGAGAACACCCAGTACAGCCTACACCTTCATAGATAGGCAAACTTTGGAA